ATCCATTTTGATGCTATGAGTAAACAATATCCATACCACATAAACATGCCAAGACACTTTAAATGTATACATAAACAATTCCAATACATTCCAGTTGTTTCATAAAGCAGCTGTTTTTAAAAAGGGAAGAATAATTCCATACCAGGTTCATTATAGAGGAATTCTCTGGTGGATTCTGAAGCAAATAGAAAACAACAAAAACCTTAAAACTTGTAATTGACAAAATAAATTGCTTTTCTTTTTTTAGTTTCGAAATAGTAATGACTCTTACAAAGAGCAGCAAGTCACACCAAGAATATTATATCTATTTACAAAAGTTGTGTGTTAGATCTCTAAACTGCTACTGTCAAGTCAAGTGTCAAGAGCGTTCTTTAGTAAAAGGAAGGGAAGGGGCTGGCTGCAGGCAGTCTAGCAACACCAGCGCGCTCTGCAAACAGAGCTGTGTGGCTTGAATGCCACAGCAGCTACGTGGAGCCGTTCGTTGAGCACAGGAGATGATAAAGTATCTAGCAAAGAAAATATGAAAAGCTGCTGTTCAAAAACTGTTTATCAAACAAATATACTCTTATTGTAAGTTGCCAAAAACTGGGTTTCAATTTACCTTACCAGTGTGTGACTATTTACCATTTGAGTTTTATTTCAGCTCTTCTCATTGTCTTCATTCCTTATGTGGATTAGTTCATGCCCTCTGTCCTTGGAAGTTCTCTCCAAAGTAGATTACAGAATTTGTAGACATTTTTAAAGTCCATTGATAATTTTCCAGTTCTATGTAGTCTACAGTTTAACCATCAGCCATTTGCTCGGATATAAAACAGGGGGAAAAAAAGATATTCTCACATTAAAACCAAAATGCTTTATTTTCTCAGTGCTCCTGTATCTTATTCTATTTCGATATCATATAGTACAGGCAAATGGATGTGGATTTGATGCAGATGGATGTGGTTTGACAATTTATTTTTTATTTCTTTTAGCCCTAGAATTTAACCAAAACCATTTCTTCTGTGCAATGTCACCCTAAATTCAAGAGTGAGATCTGGCAGGCAAGTCTTGGTAACAGACCCTGCATCTGTCTCATGTCCATCAATGTCATGGCTAGTTTGGAAGTTAACAAGGCATTTTGTGGCACCACAGGTGCAATCTGCAATCCATTTAAAATTAACCCCAATTAAAATACAAACTAGCACAAATCGAACAGGGTTTTTTTGCATATTAATTTTGTATGTACACTGTCAGAATTTTAAATCAGCTTTGCCTAAGGACTAAAGTGAGCTACATTCAAGTGCTATATCTTTAGGAAAAATGTCCCCAAATGACTACATATGTCACTATGGATTTTTGTTATTATTATTTGTTATTATTTTTGTTTATCTTACAAACTCTCTAATGTATTAAAAATAATTGAGAGTGGATGAAAATCTCCCCCCACCAATGCAATTATTCACATATTCATTAGGCAAATGTTCACACCTTGGGCCCAGAGTCTAGGATACAACTATGAATCAATCTTTTCTCTGCTTTTCTTCCCTAGTCTCCAAAGTTTCTCCAACCACCTAAAAACCCACATAGAATTCCAAACGATTTCAATAGCTCAGTTGGGCAAGCAGTAATGCACAGGCCAAACTCCCGATGTGTTTTTGACATTTGCTGATTAAGATGTGTGGGTGTTTTTTTTTTTTAATTAATTAATTTTTTTTTATGCATGGGTGTTATTTTTCTTTTTACCTAAGGATGTTCCACCCAACCTGGCAAGGAAGGAAAACTGGACTGAGGGGCCCTTAGCCAACCAGGTCACTGTCTACACTGCAGATGTTGGTGGAGTAGAGGAGTCTTGGTGAGAATGAGGGATTGAGACAGGGAAGAAGAAACCCAGAGGTCTGATTTGTCTTCTGTTCTGAAACGAAGTGTCTTATTTTCAAGCGCAAGTTCTTTTAAAAAAAAAATCTCAGAAAGAAAAAAGAAAAAATATCTGATTTGCAGCATGCAGCCAGCAGCTAGCTGCAAAGCTCAGGACCTGCCCCGAGGGATGAGCAGCACGGTGACCTCTGAGACCACTGCGCCACCCGTGTGCTCAGATGTCATCCCTCCCTTCCGGAGAGCCAGGCCAACTGCCAGAAGGGCGGAAGAACCATTATTTGTATACAATGTTTGTAATGGACATCAGAAATGGTGATAGGCAGGATGCCCATAAAATTTATCATCCAAACTAGACACTTTTGAAAGAGGCCACTATTAATCATCACACCAGGTCAACAGACATGAATGGAGCTTGCCCCAGGCAAACTGGGACACAGGGCTACGCTACCCAGAGGAGGCCTGTTCAGGATGCCTGCATTTTCTCTTTACTAGGTTTGCAATTAAAACATTTATAGCTTCTCTGAAGCCCCACCTCCAGGGTTATACTGCCTGGAAATGACTTTGAGAATGTATTTTGGGGCAAAACAGATTTGTTGAAGACACTGTCCTCATAAGTGTGTAGCAATAACTACAGAAGGAATTATATTCCCACTTTGCTGTCCCAGTGTGGTTAGAGGAGATTCTAGAATTAGAAAAGAAACCCGAAAATGAAAGACCTGATCTAAGGGCTTAATTCTGCCCTTCAGGAAACAAAACACACAGAGTGGCCAGTGGTTCTTTAAAGATGTTCCCCATCAATCTTCCACCTCATGTTCATTTGGTCTGCCTTTGCCTGACTCTGTCTCATTTAACTTTTTGAAAAAAATTATTTTATCTACAGCCTAGAAACTCTGATACAGTTTGTCAACATCAAGGAAGTCTTTTACTTGGGAATAGTGCATTATCCTCGCCAGAGCACGGCTTCCTATTCAGTGGACGTCATTTTATGTTTCTGTCTCTCTTCATTTGAAATACCTGGGATGTACCATCTTAAACAGAAATGCAACCATTCAAGGAGAGAGAGAAGGAACACCTGAGCTGCCACAGGAAATGAGACAGGGCTGGGGCTGAGGCCGGGGCATTGGGGGGCACTGTAAATAAGGCAAAGGCCTGGGCAGAGCGACAAGAAATATTTGGCATTCCTGGCTTCCCACAAAGGGTAGGTCAAGGAGAGGGAATGGGCAGTTGGGCTGGACTGTACACCACAACTATTCTTTTTTGGGCTGAATCCAGTCCACTGTGTCACAGAAACGTCCCCAGTGGGAAGCTGCCGCATTTATTCCACACTATGGCAAATGCTCAGGGTAATTAGACCCGATGCCTGTCTGTACACAGGACAGGGTCAACGTCTGTGGCAAAGACAGCTGCTGGTTTCGAGGCTGCATGTTAAATCCACTTCGGCTAACAACCGTCAAAGCCGTATTCAGAACACCATGTGTTTAAGGGATGCAGCACCAAAAGTCTGTTTCCACAGGTCCCAGTCAAAACAAAGTCCACTATTTCATGGTGTGCCCACAGGAGGGCTGTTTCAGAACACTGCTGGCCGCTTTTTGGATTGAAATTTTGGAAGAGGAACCCTGCTTACTGTTCCCTGGGTAGTGAATTGAAGATGTGCCTCTCTTTTCTTTGAAACTCTGGGGGAAAAAAAATCCCACCTTATCATCAATAACAAAATAACTACACATACACCAAGATAAAACCAGCCATTCAGTTTAGAAGAGATTGGTCATCAAACAGGCTTTCTTCCTGCCTCCTTCTCTGGTCCTTTCAGGGTAATTCAGCTCCTGCTACAGGATCTATAAAATGCTGTATTGAGACTATTTCATTAGGTTTCCAGCAGTGGGAAATTCCAGCTACTGGATATACCCAAGGCCCGTGTAAGCTCTTTTTTTTTTTTTTTCTTAATTCAAGTCTCTGGCTATAGAACAAATAGCAGAGCTTACTGTTGCTGGATGTCTAATTTCCTCAAGTACTTCTGAGGCAAACGTTGCAGAACAAGAGGTGAACAGAAGTACACGTGGAAAACGGGACACCATGACCCAAGAGTCAGCAGGTAGATGGATGGCTTGTAAACCTTCTCCTCTGAGTCATTCAGATAAGCAGGTCTTAGGTGATAAACCCAAGAGGGAGCCTCTCAGAGCAGCGGGATGGCCTTCCTGTCCCCTCCTCCACCCTTTCTACATGGCCCAGAGTGAAGTGACGATTTGGTAATTGTGTTAAAAGTTTGATATGCTGCAGAAGTTGCTTTGGAATTGTTTTTATTTTTGTTTCATTCAAATGAACAAGTAATCTTTTTTTTTTTTTTTTTGTGGTACGTGGGCCTCTCACTGTTGTGGCCTCTCCCATTGCGGAGCACAGGCTCAGCGGCCATGGCTCACGGGCCCAGCCGCTCCGCGGCATGTGGGATCTTCCCGGACCAGGGCACGAACCCGTGTCCCCTGCATCGGCAGGCGGACTCTCAACCACTGCGCCACCAGGGAATCCCCTGAATAAGTAATCTTGATAGAGTGGCCATATGCATTTCCTGAGACAGTCTTAATATCTAATATTTTGTTTGATCATCCCTATAAGTGCCCCAGAGTCATGTCCCCTCAAGTTTTGGTTCAGAAAACATGGTGGGGGGAATCTTGGCGCATCTGTGTATTTTTCAGGAAGAGTAAAGAAGTAGGAGAGAAGGGAGGGCAGGCGTGGAATGCCTCCTTGGTGACAGGGAACATGCCAGAAATTTGCACGGTTAGTATAACAGTGGTAGTTTATAAATTAGGAAACTCGCTCAGAGAAATGCAGTGACCTGCCCAAAGTACCTGGCTATGAAGCGATGAAACAAAGCTTCGAATCCAGATCTGACTCCAATACCCACGGCTTTTTGACCATTGTATAAACTGCTGATTCTGTTTCTAGGGAACTTGATCCTTCTTAAGGAGGTAAGATTTATAAGCATGAAAACTCTAAATAATAAAGATGGGAATAATGTGTTACATTATGACAAATGGTCAATTCTATTAATCAGATAATTTACTCATCTATTGCAAAATATGGTCCATATACACACCCAAGTTGAATTCCCAGCAGAATAAATTTCCTTTTTTAAATTATTTGTTGAGGAGGATCCCAAAAGCAATGCAGCCCAGAGTACCAACACCACGTCAAGACCCTCCAGTCAAGACCCTGCCTCTGCTCAGGAGGCCAGCCATCTGTCAATGTCGTGCTGCATGCTTGATGATGGCACAATGCTGCAGAGATGGAGGGAGTGCCAAGGATTGCCCACTGACAGGTAATTAGGGCCATAATGCTTTACAATTACTGTCTACAATCAACGCCTTGCGTTCCTTAAACATTCCCTGGTTACCTGTTGTGTACGAAGCACGATGTTGAAGATGCTGGGACTAGAGGGAGACATAAGACCCAGTCTCCACTCTCCAGGGGTTTACAGAAGAAGGAGGTATGACCGTGTAAGAAAATGCAAGATGATAGATACAAACAGTTAACTCTGGCAACTCCAGAAGGGAGTGATGTCACTGCATCTAATGGGAAAATCAGTGGAGGAGGCATCTGACATAGGCCTTGAAGTATGTGTAGGAGCCCAACAGACAGACGTGGGGAGAAAAAAAAACAGAAGCGAATGCTCACAGTGGGAGGAGAACAGGATCTGTCAAAATAGCAAGTCATCCAGCTTGTCTGGATTGTCAGATATATGAGAGGGAGTATTAGGAATAAGACATTTTCTGGGCTTGCCCTTCACCTTGAACTTCAGTTGAGATACGATTCATCACTTTTGGCTTGTCCTCCTCAGCAGGACCAGACTCCCCCAGTCAGTAGGCAGCACTGGCCAGCAGCCCAGCTGCTCTCCTGTGTGTGTGCATATGTGGGCCAGCGATGCAGGGGGTCAAGGCTGTTTCCTCACTCAGAAACTCGTCTGGTTCATGAGCACTAGCCTCGCTGGCCCGGAAAGCTGATCTGGCCTCCTTTTTGACCCCCTTTTTTCTCTGTCCTGAAGCTCTGATCCCCTGGACAGAAGGCTGGGTCAGCTTGGCTTGTAGCCAGCAGACACCGAAGAGGCCACCATTCACAGGGACACTTCTCCTCTCAGCCCCCCAACACTCCTAGGGTGGGCAGCCAGCATCGCTTTCCCTCTGGTTCCAGGCAATGTCTACCTATCAGTTAAGCTGTAAGATGTTTGCCCTGGGGATGTTTGAGGGTTTGAGGGTCAGTTGGAGGTTTAAAACAAAACAAAACAAAACAAAACAAATTCTGCCTCACTGAATCTTAAATTGTTGACTTCTGGTAAAGTATCTTCTAAAAACATATCAGGCACAGTAACCCATGCGCCCAATCAATGAACAGAAGTGAGCAACTAAAAGCCTGCTTTAGCTCTTTCCTCATTTCATTGCCTCATCAAAGTGTCTGGTTCTCAGCTTGACCCCAACTTATCAGCTGTGATGCCTGCCCCACATCAACACTGGCCAGTGAGTTGTTAGAAATGCAGATCCTGGGGCTCATCCCAGACTTGGTGAATCATAATCCCCGGGCTGAGAGATAGGCCTGTGGGTTTTATTTTGTATATATCTTCCCCAAGTGATCATGATACACAGTCAGGATGGAAAATCACTGCCTCTGGCAAATGCCTTATAACTTTTTGCATTTAAGTTCCCTGTCCATTGCATCCTAGAATTTCAAGAGTTAGAAGGGATCTTGAAGATCAGTTAGTCCATCACTTTTTAATCTCATGGTAGCAAGAAGGCAGTCTAGGAGCTGAGGATGTAGTGGGCAGTGTTTCCCTAAGTACATGACCGGGAACCAGTCTATGCTTCTCTTGGAGCATAGACTAGCATCTCACTGCCTGAAGAACACAGCATGGGAAAGGCTGAGTACTTCACCCTCTTTATGTTGTCAAAGAAAGGAGAAGTGACCTGTCGGATGGCACATGACTCTGGACCTCCAGCCTTACTTCCCCCTGCCTGGGTTGCTTCTGGCTGATCCTACCATCTCCAGCTTGGAGTTAAGATGGCATGCTGCAAACAGATGTGACACTTGTGGGAACACCGTGTTCTAGAAGTGTGTGAGGTGATGTATGCAGTGAGCTGGGGTGACCTGGCCTTTATCTGAGCAATGCCTTGTGACCATGGCAAACACTGAAATCACAGAGCATCTTAGAATCACTGAAGAAAGGAGAATTTTTTCCCCCAGAAGAAATTCCAGATCTTGGGACTTGGAAATCAAGAATCGTTTATTTCCACCCCAGGTCGAGCACAGCTTCCTTGTTGGATTCTGTGCTCTAGCACAGAAGTCAGCCTCCAAACCCAGGGGCTGTCTAGGCTGAGCTCCTGCCAATGGTCAGTCAGGAGTAGATGCTTGTAGCAGAGGGAACTGTGGGCAGTCAGAAGACCAGAGTGGAAGCAAAAGGCAGCTGGGAGGGTAGGCAGACAAATTGAACCGTTTTGGTCCCTCTCAGGCCCAGAGCTGTGGCTACACCTGATGCTCCTCATGCCATCAATAAAATGGACCCCTCGGGCTTCCCTGGTGGCGCAGTGGTTGAGAGTCCGCCTGCCGATGCAGGGGACGCGGGTTCGTGCCCGGGTCTGGGAAGATCCCACATGCCGCGGAGCGGCTGGGCCCGTGAGCCATGGCCGCTGAGCCTGCGCGTCCGGAGCCTGTGCTCCGCAACGGGAGAGGCCACAACAGTGAGAGGCCCGCCTAAAAAAAAAAAAAAAAAAGGGACCCCTCATCTAATGATGCAAGAACTACAGAGTTACCTGCTTTACCACCTCAGGTAATCTAGCCTGGTGCCTTGTTCATGCAAATTGTTCACTGACTGCGTACGAATAATGATGGAATAATGATGGACTAAATGTGACACAGCAGGGGACCTTTCCATCTTCAGAGGAAAACTGTTCTTACACTTTCTTAGGGAAATCTCCTTCTCTACTAGGGGGCAAATCTCTCTGGCTACTTGAGGCTGCCTGCTGATTCCCATCCCTGCTCAGCCCATCAGGCAGAGGCAGAGCTGTTCCTGGATACACCCCCTCCCCACCAACATACACACACGTAATCCGTTTACTTTCAGATCCTTGCCCAGAACCCTCCAGGAGCCCAGACCAGGTCCTGGGTTCCCAGGTCCAAAATTTTTGTAGCAAGCCAAGCTTTTCTAACCTGAAACTTTTAATAGCAAATAAATAAAACGATCCAGGCTCCAAATGGCCCAGGCACAGCCACCCTATTTAGAGCTGTGAATATCACAATAGGTGATTGTTTTAAAGTGTTTTAATGAGTCTCAAAACATCCTACATAATATGAGCCTCCACTTCAGGCCTCCTGACAGGCTCCAGTAAAAAACATGAGTTGACAGGAATAAAACAGCTTGCTCAGGAGTAATTGAGTGGAATTAGAATGAACAGACAGGAAAGAAAACTTGGTGCTTGGGTCACAAGGAACTTTTTGTTAGGAACGCTCTGGGGGATTGGGTGGGATGTAGTCCCGCTGACTAATCACCAGTATAGAAAGTTTACAGTCTCTCCGCCATGCCAATGTCTTTAATAACTTGAGAAGCATGAGAGGTGGCTGTTAATTTCAAAGACAGTTATATGAAGTTTTATTGAATGTGGTGCAGAGTATATAGTAAGCAGCCTGTGAAATAATGAACCCTTTAAAGAGGGCTTCTGAGCCAAAAGAACAGTGATTTTTCTTCTGTTGTTGGAAGGCAGGAAAGTATATATGAAGTAGGATCTCTCCATTGCACACGGGATGGGCCGTTTTCTTCATCTGGGGCATCTGCGGTGCCAAGAGGCATGAATGTTCAGATGGACTGAGCTTGGGTATTGTCACGACATGCCTCTGCCAGGAAGAGAGCAGAGTGGGAAGGAAGGGGTTAAATGGGCTGGGCACTGCCCCCCTCCCCCCGTCCCCCAGTTCTCCTGTGCACATTAGCTCCTGGGCCTTCTCTCCTCACCCTTGACCGACAATGCTGGGTAGAGGTAGAGCCTCCTCATGTCCCCAGATGTCACGACGTGGACAAACTGGAGCTCAAACCAGTGGGTTCTTGGAATTAAAGAGAAAAAGAACCAACTTTGAAAAGAGCAAGACTTTACACACTTCCCCAGGGGCGCTCTGGGGCAGGAGACCATGGCTGAGGAACAACGAGGGTACACATTGCCTTGCCGGTCTAGAGCCATTCACGATGGCCTGCTCTTACGTCTCCACACTCTAAGGAATGAATGGAGGAAGTGGGCAGGTGATGCGCCTGACATCTCTGAGCCATGGTGACGGGGGCTGGGATCTTCCTTCACCTCCTAGGCAGCCATCAATGATTTCAGCCCATGGAGAACCCTGTGATTTATCATTCTCTGTCTCTCCCTCTCTCTACCTCCCTCCCTGCAAACTTTGAAGGCATCTATGAGTATGTGTGTGAAAAGGCTGAGACAGAGAAATCTGTCTAGTCCTCTTTGGAAATCGTCTGTTGTTTCCTCATCCTCTCATTTTTGTATTCGACATTCATCAAACACAGTGCCAAGAACCCGACCACAAATGTGAGAAAGGCTGACGAGTCTCCTCCAATCCCCACTGCCCCCACCAACAGGCAGGTCAGCCCCGCCTGGCTCAGCCAGCGGCCGCGGGCAGGGACCGTGACGGTGGACCAGGCAGGTGCTCTCCCAACTGGGGAGCAGATGTGGCCTTTGCTGTCTGCGCCCTTCATTCTGCACTGAGTCTGCTGTGACTCACAACAATGGCTTTGGCCATGGGGCTCCCTGGGCTGAGGCTCAACGGGACCAAATCCTACTGACCAAGAAAACCAAAACGTAACAGAAAAACAGGCCTTCTCTGAGCCAGTCCTATGGAGCAAAGGAAGTGATGTAAACAAAGAGATTAGTTAAAGGAAAAGGAGCTATTTCCTGCCTCAGCACTGGCAACAAGCATAGTCTTTCTCTTACTTAATTCAGCATGTTGTTAGCAACATGCCTTCTGGCTTCACTCGTATTTTTATTTTTTTTTAAGACACATCTCTGCTCTTCACACAATAAGGCAATTTAGCTGTTTCCAGGGGTTCATTCTGCAATGTGCATCATTTGACCTCTTCCTGAGCTGTAAGTGTTCAGTAGCCAAGGAAAACCCCTTCTAGAAGGTTTTGGGACCTGGTGAGCCCTGCAGGAAAGCTCACAGCCTCACTCATCTCCAGCAGTTTGGGAACTGCTGGGAGCCGCATCCGTGGGAGTCTGGAATGCTTAGGAAGGCGGCCTGCAGCCCACACTGTACTGGAGCTGCTCAAAGATTCTTGTTTGTCTAGGATGTAAATAACCCAGAGAGCAGCCTTGTTTTAGGAAAGGAGGGAACTGCTTCTTCTAAAGCTGTCAGGAAGCAAAGTGGTCTCTGGGGGTCAAATTTACTTTTTCACAGGACTTAACAAACAAAGGGATATTTAAATGTACTTTTGAAGTTTTTAAGTTCTAATTGTTAGTGAGTCCCTGTCCTAGCGCTGTCTTAGGAGCGCCTGGGGACGTGTCTGAATACAGGTTGCTGTTCCCTTCGTCCCACCTCCACCCCAGGAAGTGTCTTGAATGAAGCTCAGGAATCTGGATTTTCATTGGACTCCTTAGTGATCTTTATGCAACCAGACCAGTGCCACTGTAAATGAAGTGATGGTGAATGCTGTCATTCAGGGACTGCCTGCATGACAGGGACATCAGAAGGAGCTAAGACTGGAATGTTCTGGAGAAGCTCTTTTTTTCTTAGGAAAAGTGATCTTGGGGTTTTAGTATGGCAGGGGAGAGGGAATGCTGAGTCCCAGAAACTCCCAAGTCAGAGCTAAACACCACCTCCTTAAGGATGCCAGCCTGCTGACTCTCCATCCTGGGCAGCTTGGTCAGGGAACTCCCAGCAGCCCCTAGAGATGCAGTCAGTGAGAGGAGGAGTGTAGGAAATGCCAGTGTGTGACAAATACCATCTCCGGAGAACACTGGTAAGATTCCCTGTAGATGCCCTGCGGGTCAAGCTGAGTAGCTGGGCTGGGGGCGGGAGGTGGGTATTTCTGAAGTCAGCCTGAGGCTCCACAGCATCATCTTCCGTTGCCCTGGCTCCAGACCAGGGCAGGTGTGCCTGCACTTGCTGCCCAAGGCTCCTTGAGCTGCCCAGTGCACACACGAGCATGGGTATTAACAAACCTGTTCTGAGTCATCCCTTTGGGTTAGACTGAACCCCTGAGAGAGGCTGAAGGCATTTCTGATCATTTTGGAGTTTCTGTAATATGATCTCCCCTAGAAGCCCCTGACTATGAATGCTCCAGGGAACGAAGAGGCTTGCTTCCCGATGTAGAGCCCACTTGTCCACAAGGAAGGAAATAGCTTCTGAGCTAGAGTCCAGGGTTTGCTCTTTTTAACAGCAAACACAGTTACACGACCATTCAGAACTCCTCTTCCAGCCTACATAGGCTGTGGATGTCTGAAATGGAGGGGCGCCTAACTGGGTTAGATTCATGGCTGGGTTCCGTCTTGGCCTCTGAGAAGACTGTGTTGCACTGCCAGGTATCTGAGCAGCTGGGACAGGTATGCCAGGTCAGTCCATCAACAGCTATTCCAGAGCCCGTGCCATTGCCAGGCACTCACCTGGACTGCTTGTCTTGAGAATTAACTTTTAGAAAAGTCAGGGACACATAAGCTGTATTGCAGCCATATAACAGACTGTGACACCACCCAGACCCCCCTTTCCATCTCTGGCACTTATCAGACTTTGCAGAGTGAGTCTGGTTATAACAATTTTTGGAGGATTCAGATGACGTCTGGTTTAACACATCTCCACTCCCAGTTTCCGTGAAGTTCTGTCTTTAAGATGGACCGACCGGGCTTATTGGCAGGAGGCTGGGGCACTACTGGCCTTACCTTGTAACGTTGGTTTGGGTATGTGGAAACCCCTTTTCTTTGAACCTAAGTGACAGTGGCAAGGATCATTTAGTTAAGAGGATCATCATCAGAGACGACCGGTTTGGGAGCTCAGAGAGTCATCACGTATGCCCATTATGTCCTCAACACGTCCCAGGCTCCGAGTAGAGAAGTGCTGGGGTTGCTTGCACTTAGCCAGGGCTTTGGAGGAAACGCTTCTTCCTCCCTCATCCACGCAGGAGAGTGTCACCCTGGCCCTCTGGCAGCAGCTCTGGAGAAAGTGTCCAGAGCAGGGAGCCTGCGTTGCTCCCTTGATACTGGTCTCTCTTCCCAGAGTCTCCAGACTGGAGTGGGCAGTGGGTGGCTCAAGCCACTCCCGTCACCCTTCCCGTCTGAGTCAAGAGGAAGCAGATTCTGCTCCCCAAGGGGAATCAGAACTAGAATTTCATCACGTATTCCTTCATTCATTCATCTCCCCAATATTTATTGACCCACTGCTCGGTGTCAGGCAGTCCCTTTGGAAGCCACCTGGTAGCTTGCCGGCCTGGATGCTGAATACACACTACAGGGGAGGCACTATCAAGATGAGGCCAGACAGGCCGGGTCAGGCCCTGGGACATCAGGTGTCAGGGCAAAGGTGAAGGGAGGCATGCTCAGTGCAAGTCTTCGAGTGGTATCCAGGAAGATTGCAGGGCAGCTGTGAGGCCTGGGGGAGAGTTAATGTCATGGAGCTCCCAGGGGTCTGTGGTCATAGCAGCCGGGAGAGCTGGTCTGCAGTGGCTCCTGCATCGAGCTGCTGCCAGCATGCCCGGCCCCACCCTAGTGCCCAGCTTGCCTGGATTTGGGGAGCAGGTACAGACTCAGAACAGACACTTCTCCTGGCAAGGGCAGCCTTGAAAGAGATCCAAATGCTTAGACCCCTGTGGTTTGTTCTCTGAGGTTAGCAAGGAGATCACAGGAGCCGTGACATCTGGGCCTTGCCCTAGAAGGTTCTCTGTGGGAGTCTCCTTCCCATAGTTAGGAGGGGGCGCCCAGGGACAAGAGCCAGTGCCCCAGAGCCCCCTGCTCTGAGAAGTGGTGTGGAAGCATCCCTGTGGTTCCTCACTGCATGTGCTGTGAGACTGTGCCTCACTCAGCTCCGTTCCATCAGGGCCCCAGGCCTGTGTTTCCTCATCACAACGTGCTTGTCTTTCCCCAGGTTACAGCAAGATGAGGTTGAATGAGGCATTTTTGGATTTTTAAAGCTCTTAACTCCTCCCACTCCATAGATGCTGATAAAGATTTTTTTTTTTTAATCACAGGACTGTTTATAAGGCAGATTAAGCCTCATAAAGACTTAATAGACTGAAATTGCTAAATCATCCAGTACTCAATAGTCTGCTACAAAACACGGAAGTAAAAAGACCGTGAGCTGATTATGACATTCAAGTAATAAATCATTTTGATCAGAAAAGGATGCAAGAAAAGGGGCTGAAAGTCGGTCTCCCCAGCCACGTGGCTTTGATCTCTGGGAAAGTGACTATTCATGAAGACAGCAATCCATAGGTCTTGATTAGCCTGTTCAAACCGGTGACTGTGATTTCCCCATGGATACAGCACAATAAAGTCAGCAAGTGTTAGGCTGGGCTTTAAACAGCTGTCTTTTCAGAGAAAACTCAGTTGCATAAGGGGAAGGTTGCTGTGCCAGCCTAAAGACAACTGTTTACAAACATTGTACTTACTCTGTAGTCCAGGGAGGAATCTTGTTCAAGACGCAAAGAGGAAACAGATGACTCTAGTTTTAAATAAGATCCCTTTAATGAGCAGCAGCAAATCAGTACAAATGAGGGCAAACATCCTTGACTGAGAGGATTTCCTCCTTCTGTTCCCCAAAATGCCACCAACTGGGCTATAGGCAGCTGTCTCCTAAACCAGGGGCTCTGGTTTCCATGGTGGTTGGGTCAATCTGGTAGATATTCAAACCCCTAAACCCACTTCTTCGTAAATCTCTGGGAGCTGGTCATATTTCTAGGCAGGCAGCTGGAATTTCCCCATGGTTCTGTTTTTCATATTTTTGCCAGTAAATGTAAACACAGCACCAGTCAAATGTTGAGTCCCCAGAATTTGCAGCAGGGCCCCCAGAGACTGGTTTGATGGGGAACAAGCATGGACAGAAGCCCCCAGTCTTCCTGGGACAGTCCTGCTTTATGCCTGTTGTTCTAGAGTCCCACCTCATCTGCGTTTGCACTCTCCAACATTTCCCGGTTTGCATGATGCATTATGGAACCACCCTGAAGGAGATCATTTCCCCAGTCCCAGGCATTATTTGAAGGAATTGATGTGCACAAGCCCTTTTGTTTGGATGAAGGATGAGAATTGCTTAGGTGGGTGGGCTTGAGTGAGGCCAAGGAAAGGGACCCACTCTCGGCTCTGCTGTCTCCACAGGAATCACAGACTAAGTCAGAGGCTGAAGGCGCTCCACTCATGAGGGGTCTTGGGAGAGAAGGGCCGTCTCCACATTTTCTGGTGAACGCAGAGGCAGCATCTGACGGGGACCCAGCAGGTGCAGCAGCTGAGTGGCTGGGAAGCAGGCTCTGTCCTAGAGCTCTGGCTCCCTTCCTCCCAGGGCTTGACCAGAGGATGTGCACACTTGTTCCTGAGCACAGTCAGGAACCCCAGTAGTCACCAGGACGCCTGCATGAGAAGGTAAGATGCCTGAGATTGTGTTTAACTTACTGGATGAGCTTTAAACTTGTGTTCAAGAATTGGTTTAGAGACCCAGGTCTGCATCCTCCTTCTGGAGACCTCTGGGGCCAAAGAACAAGGGATGCTGGTCCTCACCTGCTGTGTTGGATCTCCATGGCCTCCAGGGGAGTCACTTTCCCTATTTAACCACACATTCCCTGCACAGATGGTATTTATGCTCAGGAGATGACTCACTCCTTATCAGCATACCCTTCTATAATAAATATCCCTATCAAGTTCAAACTCACTGGGCTTCAGAGTGAGTTGGGTGGTATTAAAAGAACTTCTCCTTTTCTAGGAGCTCTGTAGATTTTTTGGAATTTACTCACAAGATCCACTTCTCTATGACTGTGACTATGTTAGACTTCTTTATTTAAGATCTGGGTTTCACTTAACCAATTCTTTCACTTAACTAACTACATCATCTCAAGATTCTTATTGTCTCTGTGCCTCAATTTAATCACTTATAAATTAGAACAATATTACCGACCTCATAGAGTTTCCTGGAAGATGAAATGAAGTCATGGCCCAGAGAAAAGTTGAAACAAATATTTTTTGAATGAATAAATGACTAAAGCAATAATATAAATGTGAAAAATTATCAACCAACACATTGTATATGATGAGACTTGTATTTACTGACTGTTGTCTATGTATCAGAAACAGTTCTAAGTTCTTGAACACATACCGTCTTAAAGTTAAGTGAAGGAATTGGGATGCAAACCTATGTCTCGTGGGCACCCGAGATCATGATTTTAACTTTCACCTGTGTTGCCTCTTCTATACTGGTGCTAAACTGCTTTGTCACCAGGGACTCCCTGGGAAAGAATGACCAGGTTCTTTAACTCTGGCTCCCTTTACTTGAAAGTAAATTAGATTCCTATGGTTTTATAACTTACTGAGTTTAATAAGAAAAAATATTGCTATGACATGTGTTGATATGAACAAAGATTTTGGTGTTGGCACTAAGTAATCAATACCAAATATTGGAATCAAGTCCCCAGCATTTGTTAGTTGTTACTCTGAGCAGAGGATGCGTTAGGCTTATGCCTCAGAAATAACTTCATTGAAGTGGGGACAGAAACCAGTTGTTCTACCACCTGCCTTCTGGTTGGTGAAAACCCAAGTACATAATGATTTGACTCTACACCTGCACCAAATAGTGATACTCCCTCTCTGGTTGCTGGAAAGGGTTTCTGTTTTCTTGGATACAACGTTTCCCCAGGTTCTGATAGCCTCCAATGATTTTTGAATTCTTTCTCTTTCACTACAAAAGTGTGTACAAGCATTTGCTCAAAGCGGGTACAAGCATTTGCTCAGAACTGTGTTAGATTCTGTGTGGTTGCTTCCAAAAATAGTAGTCCTGGCCTTTGCTGTAAGAATCATGATGGGAACTATCATTTATTATGACGTTACTACGTTCTAAGGGCTATGTTAGTTGCTTCATATATATTGTTATAGTCAGGGTAAGCTAGTAGCTAGTTTATGCTGTGGTAACAAACAATCCCAAAATCTTAGTAGCAAGTAAAAATTTACTTCTCAGTCTCATTAAATGTCTACTGCAATTGGCTGGGGGGCTCTGCTCCACATTTCTTCATATGCTGACCTAGAATAAAAGAGCTTCTACCTGTTCTATCTATGACATTGCTGGTTGCCATGGCAAGAAGGGAGCACAATTGTGTCTTACATTGGCTATTAAATGCTTCTGCATAGAGCAACACAGAATACTTCTGTTCTCATTTCATTGGCCAAACCAAGTCCCATGGTTAAGTCCGACTTCAAAGGACAGGGAAATGCTGTTTGACCATGTACCCAAAAGGAGGAAGGTGAGCATTGTTAGTGATGCACAAATGACCACCACACTTATGAGATCTGCCTTAAACCTCAGGACAGCTCAGTGAGGCGGGTCTGTTATCTTTCCCATGTTATAGATGGGGACACTAAGAGAGGTTAAGTAATTTTCCCAAGGTCACACAGCTAATGAGTAGAGGGAGAGGGACAGTATTTGAACAGAGACCTGGAGCACAGGAGGGACCTTTTACAGGGCACCGTGCACATGGGGCAGGGTCCTCATGGATTCATTCTTCTTGACCACTCTGAGCTTCCCCACCTTTAGTTCTCCTTCTGTATTATGTTAGTGCTAAGCCATGGCTAAAATGTACGATCCCCAGACATCTTTATACCATATGAACTTGTATGACCCACTCAGGCTTCGCAGTACCTTGCACAGGTTGGTTATAGTGAAACAAGTCGGGGAATGGAGTTCAAGGTAAGTGGATCCCTGAGCTGGAAGGAACCTTAGAACGTCCTCTCTAGCTACTTCATTTTAGAGGTGAGAAGGGTCTTGCCCATTAATCAAAAACCCATGACCTGACTTGCAATTCTGGGTGCTTTGATTGGTGGGACCGAGATATTCCTATGCATGGTGTATTTTAAAAAAGAAGGGAAAAGGCATGGAGTACAGCCCTGGTGGGCTGACTATGATGTGCTTGAACTTGAACAGAGCTGTAACTGGATTAGGCCTGAGTGGAAAGGTTAGTATCCCCAGAGTCTGAGATTTCACAGAATCCCACCTCTGGAATTCTTGCATACGATATCAGAAAGTCTCCCTGAACTTTCTTAACTTTGCCATCTTGAGCTCTTAAAGAAAACACTAATTGTATGTTCTGAAATCCAGAAAAGGAAAGGGGTGAGGGACATTGAGACCAGCCATTCTAGCCCTGGCTAAGCCTCCACTGGCACAGGCTCCAGGGGTGAGCTTGCCTCTGTGGATTCCCAGCCGGGAAGCACCACCCTGGTTTATTTTCAGAGGTGGAAACTCAAGCAGCAATTATCTCCTGTCACAGCAAATTAAAAGTCCAGGCTTACCCATCCCAGGAGCGGGCTGAGTGCAGCCAGTGGCCAGCAAAGGGCCATAATGACAGGCCGAGGTTGGTGCATTTCCTTTAAAGGCATGAGCCACTCACGAAACACACAAAGTAAACAGAGACATAAAAGTCCATGGAAAAGGCCCGCAAGTGAGAGCACGAGTCTGCACCAAGATCAGAGTGTATTTTGATTTTGCAGGGGATCGAAGACTGTGGCAGCAAGAAGTGCTCAGCAGAAGATGAGTTTGGGTCTGTGTTTAAGATAACGTGGGAGCTATTGTGCGTGACACTGCCGAGGGTGGGGGTGAGTGGCCCTGACTGTCACACACACACAGAGACACGTACACACACTCATTGCTGTGGCATCAAGAGCATTGCTCCCTTCCACTCACTCCTATCAGAATCTCCATCCCTGCCTGGACTCCTGCCTACCTTCCTGGGGACAGGGCAGCCTGGCCCTGCTGGCCAGTGTTTCTGCTGGCCCTGCTGGCCTGTCCTCTCTTACATTCTGTGCCTGCATTATTGCAGAGAACTTAAGCAAAAGTCACCTCTTTCAGGAAGTCCGCCAGGACTGGTGCTTCTCAGCTCCTGCATCTTCCCTTTGTGACTTCTTTTTGCAGCCAGCTCTGCCACTTTATGTCAGCGAGGATTTGTGGTTGTGTCAGTTTCTTGGGAGTGAGTTTGGGCTTTGTTACAGTATAAGATCTGCAGGAGTTGAGATTTTAATTTTTCCTTATTTTATGCCACACACGTTTAACTTTCAAAAAGCGTTTTCACATCTATCATCTAATTTTGTCTTCAGTGTTACCTGGGGAGGTCAGTGGGTGGGAAAAATCATTCCAATTATGGATGGGAACTTACACAGCAAGGTGGCTAAGAATGTGGGCTTTGGCTGGGGTGGGTTTCTGATCTCTCTAAGCTCCAATTCTCTCATCTGTAAACAGGGATAAAGTAGCTCCTGCCCATAGGTTATTTTAAGGATTAAATGAGGTAACACGGTAGCGTGCTTACCTCACACAGAGAAAGTGCCCAGTAAAATTGTCATTATTATTATTTTTTTTTGCGGTACACGGGCCTCTCACTGCTGTGGCCTCTCCCGTTGTGGAGCACAGGCTCTGGACGCACAGGCTCAGCGGCCATGGCTCACGGGCCCAGCTGCTCTGCGGCATGTGGGATCTTCCCGGACCGGGGCACGAACCCGCGTCCCCTGCATCGGCAGGTGGACTCTCAACCACTGCGCCACCAGGGAAGCCCCCAAACTGTCATTATTTCAATGGTGATGCAGCTCAGACTCAGAGAACTTCATGTATAAGGGGTGGTAGGAAAGACAGAGGGAGTTGGAGACAGCAGGTTCTCTTTGGGCAAATTACTTTGCCTCTCTGAACCTCAGCTTCTTCATCTTAGATAGTAACAACGTCGTTTGTCACATATGTCACAGCAGGCTTGGGAGGATTAATTCAAAACTACTTTTGAAAGCATATTGTAAATTGAGACAAATATATTAATTTATTAATCTGCCTAAATTCATGCAGCCTTTCAGTACTGGAGCCAGATTTCCTTATTCCTGGTGACCTTTCCAGCAGGTGTGCTTTCCTCTGGAGTCCCCTAGGAGTCCCCATAAGTTCTGCTGACTGCCTGTGGGCTGGATAGGGGGGCTGCACACCACAGCTCTGAGCAAGGGGCGCCCCCAGCCTGCCACCCCTCCCTTTCTCCTGCCTGCCCTCATAGGCAATGGGATTGTGCAGAAAAAGCAGAGCTCAGAAACAAACAGCCATTTCTGCTGTCCCGACTCCTTTGCCTTATCTCTGCTGTTGGCCAAGAGAACAGGATGGGAGGGTGAGAGAGACCTAACAAAAACGGATCTTAGCCACTGGGAGGAAGCTTAGAATCTACACAGCAACCTGCACCCCTTACACTTCACAAGTGACTTGTGACCCCCGTTACTAATCTCACTGTGCTTAAGGACAAGTGGATATATGTGTGAATATTTTACTAGCATTTTCCCATTGGCCCATGGATTAATTTCTCTAAAGCCAGCATCTTTTTGGCCTGCAGGGAGAACGTGGTCGGGTCTCCACTGCATGAAGTCACTTC